TGGAAATGATCATGCATACAATGGACTCCGGACTAGGTGCGTTCCTCTAAGTCTTCCTACCAATATGACCTAGTTGTGAAAACAAAATCAAACAACCTCACTATTTAATTTATATACAAAATCCAGTATAAATTAGATTTTCTGAAGTGAGAGCGACAAAAGTGCGAATACGATGGCAGACTGAACTGATTAAGATGAAAAATGAATTTGCGTAACAATTATGATTGATTCGAGGTAAAGGCCAAAATGGAGTTAGAATTCCAAGATTAGCAATAAAAAATATAGAATATATATACTCTGATTATAAACGAAAAAATATACAAGATTAGTAATGACTAACTGATGACTAGGCATATACTTCCATTGATTTAAAAAGTGACAAGTCCTTATAGGATCAAGTTCTTGGTACAAGACGTTAGCAAATATTTTTTACAGGAATAGCATTTCGTATGTTAGTTTAGATAACATAAACGTAACGAATTTAATGAATCTAGAATGTCTTAAAACGAAGCATTAATTATCTAGAAAAGAAAGTCACCATCAAAGAAAAGAATCTATATAGAGAGCAGAAAGAAAGAAGAATTAACAATGGTGGAAACTGTTTTAAAAGATTATGGCAAATAAGATAGAAATACTAGCCTAAATTATAAAATCCAAAGAACTAATTAGAATTAATTAATATATTAGCTTGTGAATACCTCCGATAAAATGACGAAAAGCCAGTTGATAAAGTACTTAAAAATTATGAAACTCACAGATCCTTGAGTTTTAGTTGACGCAAACTGGCCAAATTATGACGAGCATCGGTATCATTTCCGGGCAAAGATGATTTAATAAAATGAGGAGAGGCACCAACGGGCGCGACAGGGAAGAGACATCCAGTACAAGGCCGGCGTTGCATGACAGAAGCCAATGGACCGCTGTTAAGGGCAAGGGAAACGGTAACCGGACTGGCAGTGGAGTATACTTCTTCATCTAGGGAATTACGAGCCACAACACAGTCAGAGGATTTCTGATCAGATGAGACAGGATTAGAGATAATTGTGGTGCTAATTAATGAATGAAGGGGTCTGATGCTTGAAGCAGGAGTGGACGGTACAGAAGAGAAAGATGGAGTTGAATCGGCGAAACGAAGGGCCCGAAGAAAGCAATCACGCGCCCAAATTCCTGAAACTGGCGGAAGGACCCTACATCCAATAGGACTGGCTTCCAGGTCAAGGGAGGCCTTGCGCAAACGCTGTTCAAATAGACGCTGAAGATCTGAATTTTTTCCACGTAGAGTTAGGAGACGCTGTTCGAGGCTACGAATGGACTCGTTCTTCTCACGAAGCACTGAAAAATATAAGAAACATCAAGATGTAGAGAAATAAATCAGGAAATAGGCAGAATTATTAGGAATAGGAAGTTAGACAAAAAAATTAATAATAACGATTAATAGAATCTTTCAACGTAAATAACTAAAATAATTCACGAAAAAAGGACACTTATTATGTCGAATTTTAGTGTTATAATCGTTACCTCCAACTTCTGAGAAGGCAAGTTTAATTTAGAAGAGCTTCAATAAGGATGTAATAATTCAAAAGTACGATAACACATGCAAAGAGATATAATGATAATATATCAATCTTGGGAGACATTTTATGCTTGATTTATGAATGCTAAAGAACCATGATCAATCAGGACCAAAAAATGACGCAATTAATAAATCAAAAGGCAAGTAGTTAATGAAATATTTTATGTAATATAAGAAAAAAAAAGAATTTAGCCAATTATTTGTAAGATTATCATCATAGATTAAGTTGGGAATTGAACATACGTCAGATCAACTAATTTTTTGCGATTAAGATACTCATTAAATCGCGATCTGCCAATATTGTACCTATGCATGGATAACATAAATCGTATGCCAATTTCATATTCTTAGTCATTCCACTACACATCTCATAACCACTCTCAGTGCTACAGAATGATTTCTCTCGCGATACCCTCTTCTGGCATTGGTAGGAACTATTAGGGAGCAAATGTACATCATAAAAATTAAAAACTTGACATCGAAGAATCCCTTTATAATTTCATAAAAACTGTCATTTCCAAAAAAACGCTAGAGGAAGCAGATTCGTATATAGATATATGCGAGTAGATCATCAGTGCACGGTCCATTCAAGATTGAAGCTAATTTTCTCTAAATACAATTAGAATTTGTAAAGGGAGTTTGTAACCAAGATAGTTAAATAGCAGCAGGAAGATGTCTATATATTCTCCTCCGAGTTTCTAACGTATTAGTTGGACAAGTATCACAGGAACATGGTCAGCAGCACAGTGGCACCTCATCTCTTTTGAAAACGGATAGGAGTATGAACGCAGACGTAGCCCAGTAATTTAATCGTTTTTTTACTAGAAAACTGAGTGACGTAACCTGTATATATGCTCAGTGGTCCATGGGGCAGTAATCCATTAATACTAATCACTTAAGGAATATTTTTTGAAACCCCTGTATATTCCTGAGCAATACAACTCAGATGGGTGCATACTATGGGTCCGCTATAATAAAGGAAAGTATGGACCAATGTGGGGATGAGTGCCCATTATGAATTGATAATGAGAAAGAAGGTAGTAATGCTAAGGTGTAAAAAAATAAGTGGAATATGAGTAGCAGAATCTTTAAAGCTTAGGTAAAAAAATAAGATTTATTCTTAGAATGTAGATATGAAGAGCAAGATGGTGTGGCTTTCTGTTGGTCGCAATCTCCTTTAGCTATATAGCTTTGGTTTGACCTCGTTTCCGCAACTTGGTCTCTGCAACAGAGAGACTTTGTGGAACGTACCTAGTCTCGTGTTCTCTGCTATAGCATTCAGGATAATTTTCAAAATCGAACTGTCGATTTGTACATTCCCAGACGTTTTGACGATATCGGTGGTGAGAGGCGTCATCTTTAGCACAAATTTACAACTTGTCACTAATTAGTTGTAACCTTGTGATAACGATGGCGCCTCTCACCACCGATATCGTGAAAACGTCTGGGAATGTACAAATCGCATTGATAGCGCAGAAAATAAGCGAAAGGCCTAAGAAAGACAATAGCAAAAAAGAGACCGGGCAAATCCAATAACTTTATAAATTTCAATCTTGACAAAATGCAAAAAATCTATGGAGTTTGATGCCTAATCAAGTAAAAATTACTTCTTTGAGGAAATGATAACACTCCACAATTTATACACAATAGGAGCTCAAATAGCGTCTAAATAATTAAGTTTACAAAAGTCGAGAATAAACACAAATCCTATGTCGATACGAGGTCGAAATTGCAGTTAATCTTGTATGAGAGCGGCCTTTTGGGATACATGGAAAAAGAAAATTGATAAAAAATCAGACACTTAAAATAATCGTCATTACGCTTAGAAACAATTAAAAACTGTTCTAGCTCTACAATAATTTACTTATTTGCGGTTTTAAAACAAACTTTTATTAACTAAACTATTTTAGGTATAATATACAAAGAGAATGATCAAGATTAATGTAAAGCCTGACTTGCTCGTGTAGCCTTCGCTTCAAGAAGTCGATGTTGTCTTTTTTCATTTTCTAAAATAAAAAAGAGGAATGTAGACAGATGAAAAGAGAGCTCCTAAATATGGCTAAAAGTATCTTGCGCAAGATAGATTAACATGAATCCTTAAATCTTAGCCTCAATCCAGAATCAATTGTGGACATAGAATGCTTGTAGCATTTATATATTTATAAATGAGTATAATCGACAGATTTTTCCTTTTATAACCCAATGAAGTCAACGAACTGAATAGGCGATAAAACTTGATGTAAGGCTTATCTCTCTTGGCATAGCAACTTTAAATTTTAAGAGGTTGACTTACCTTAATTTCGTAT